ATTTATGGATTGCCCTCCTCCTCTTCTTTCCTGGTTTATGAGCCTATAAGTTGTAAGCACTGTATTAGGAAAAAAAATGTTTTCCCTACAGTTTTTACTGAGTACTTGCTTTTGTTTGTCTTTCCAGGACTGTTATGCATAGTAGGGAAACTATTCATAGAAGTAAAAATAACCTCCATGCAAACCTAAATGGAAACAGATATGGATTGAGAGACAAATCCAGCTCTACTCATTTTATATGCAAATAACCTAACCCATGCAATACAGGAGAAAAAAATTAAAAGGCAATGTCTCTTTTAGTACAGAGAAGTTATGACATTGCAGCTAGAAACCATAGTAACAATATTAAAAAAATAAAGTAGGGAAGCATTTGATCTAGTATTGACTCATGTTTCTTACTAAAGATCAAAGCATCCAGAGCCTTCTTTGAAATATGTAATAATACATTGAGTCTAATTTCCAGGGCCTAATATTACAGAAGTTGAAAAGCTGGGGAAAAACAGAAAAGAAATTTTGCTGGAAGGTGTTTTTTTCTCAAAATGAACAGCTTACGAATAGTTAAAGTAGAGCTTTTAGTGATAATTTTAGTGCCACTTGTCAGTTTGCCAAAACACTTTCTGTTACTAAATAAGTATTTCAAATAAAATTCAAAATTACCGTATCAAACAATTACCGTTCCCAGGCAGCACACTATTTACTGAATGAAGGTGAATATGCATGAGGATCGCTTTTTCATGACTCAATTTCATTTTGTCTTAATGAGCACAGGCTGCTTCTTGAGTTACATGAGACCTTTAATTGGTGTCAACAACTGTGACAACGCCTCTCCTCATGGTTTTCTTCCCACTTCACTTTTCAGTAAACCAAAAGGCAGAAAACATGCTTCAATTTCAGATCCATAATGTACTTTAAAATTCCACCAGAACTGCAGAGTGTAATTATCCTCCAGAAATAAAGATATTACAGTGATTTCATTAATTGAATTCCCCTGCCTCGCCTTTTCAGGAGTCAAATTACAAATGGTAGCTTTCCCTTTCTAAGACATAGCAGTAAAGTCTAGATGTAGCACCTGCTCTCCCCAAAATCTGGGGAGTTTTTTTTAATCAAAAGTGGTTAATTTTGGCATGCAGTCTTCAGAATTCCTGGAACTTTTATATATCTAGTTCAGGCTGGATTTTATTGTCTTGTATCTGATCTAACCTCCACAGAGACGAGGAGGGGCACTTCCCCTGGCTCATGGGCATCATTCACACGATTTCTCACAAGCTGGAGCATCTCTAAAGGTGTGTGGTGCAGAAAGAAGATAAAAAACAGGAAGTCACTCGCCAGCTTTGACATGCACATGTAGGGAAGTTGTCAAATGGAACGTTTTGTAGCTGCTGCTCACTGGAATGGTTTGGCCACACCGGTGTCATTAGTGTTTGGACAAACTGCAGCAGTTGCTGAAGCTGTTTCTGCCTCTTTCTATGACAGGTTCATTTCAAAAGATGCATCCTTCAGAAGAGCTGGACCAGCTCGAGAATCAGCCACAGACATGTCACCCAGAGAGAGCTTTATGAAATTAAGGGCAGTGTGAGAAGGGCGCTGTTTTCCTGGTGGAGAGCTCAGGGAAGAAGAGGATGAGCAGGATGTGGGTGAGCGGTGGGGGCAGGGCCCTGGGCTCTGACATCAATCCAAACACCTCAGGAGAGCCTTGCACTGAAAAGGGCTCACTGAAAATCTGTCTCACAGGTTAGGTGCATTCTTAGAGTGATGGTTGTCTTGCTTAGCAGCAGACCACTGCTCCAGGAATTACACCTCCTGATCTTTTTCGTTTGGATCAAGATCCAGACAAAAGCCTAAGAGGCTCTTGTGCAAAGCCTGTAATTATGTGTAATTATCTGTTCAAGTACGCTTTTGCATTACAGTGTTAGTAGTGGATTTTCTGGCAAAAGAGGAAATACTGAGTTTTCATCTCCAGCATTTACAGAAATGTGTTCAATTTAACAAACCTTTGACAAGACATACCAAAGAGTGTCACATAATCCTGTCTGCAGCTGAAAATATACCTGCCTGCCCTTACTTCATGGTCCTGAGCTTCAGAACAATCCTGATATCCATCCTGTGTTGAGGACTAATTTGCATTTATTGTCTTGATGTACATGCCTATTATTTTTCTATGCATATTTTATAAATATAAAATACATGAATAGAATGAAAACGTAGACTATATGCCTTTAAAATTAAACCTGAGACGGTCCTGTCATGATGTAAGCATGATGGATGTGGTGGGATCACTGAGTCTAGATGCTGTTGGAGCTTTAGGATTGGTACTGCATGAAGAAATTGGGATTTTTTTTATTTTTTTTTTAATATGTGCTATTCACCTTGGATTTTTTACTCTCATGTATATTTGGTAGGATTTTTTGGTAAATACGCCTTTTTGTGCTGACCAAGATTGAGTCTTTTTGGCAAAGTTCAGTCTAAATCCTCTAAATCACACTTCTGTTCTTGGCCTTTCTTAAGTCAAATTATCAGAGATTGTATGCTAAGCTGTGACCTTTTTTTGATGATGTAGGAGTGTGAAGCAGCAGTTTTAAACCTAGGAAATAAAGAGAAATAAAGACTACTGCCTCCCATCTTTCACAGCTGGGTGTTTTCAAACACTTTCTGAAACAGATCTTTTATAATGCTTAAATTATAAGTTGCATTACAAAAGTTTTCAGAAATTTGATTGCTAAAATCCAAACAATTTCAATATGCTGTTGATGCGTCTGTGTAATTGCATATGATATAGGCAGATAATGCTCGAGAGTTTGAAAAACTACTTGTGAATGGAAATCAAATTGCCTTTAGATATATATGAATTTATAGTGATATTTTTTTTAATTCTCCAAGTTTCATCTCATGTTTAGCATCTAAAACAGATAAATAAAAATGTTGTGAGGCTTGATCGACAGCAAAAGTTTAATTAACTTTGTGAATTAGAAGTACCAAAGTTTTCATTAATAAGTTATGAAAGAATTGGTACTGTTAATTCACCCTTGAGTCAGGGATATACCCCCTAGAAGTGCCATTCCTGTACATTTCTTGTAAAAACTAAATTCTAAATTAATTATAAATTAATTCTAAAACTAATTCTAAATCAATTGAAAATTTGTTAAAATCATTCACGGATCTTCACAGTGTAATTATTAATATTATTGTCATATGTGAAAATGTCAAGAAAAACAATGGTGCTGTTGATAACAGAGGATCAGCCAGACATTGTGTGGACGTCATGCTTCGTGATACTGTTTTCATGCAGTTAGCAGAATAATGGCACACATTATTTTTATCCTGTTTGACTATTTTACATATGCTTGTAACTTCTCCTTAAGCCATGTTTTCAAATGGCCAGGAGCTGGAGCCCACTGACAGCCATCATTCTGGCACTTTCTATCTTTGTGCTGGGGTAGAGCCAGAAGTGGGAGGGCTTATAGGGGCACAGAGAGAATTGTGAGATTTCATTACCACCCGTTTGTTTTCAAGCACTTTTTTATCCTCAGGTCCCAAAAGATTGGTAGCACAGAAATTTTGGGTTTCTACTTGCTTGACCTTGACCTACTACAAAAAGTGCTGTGATCCCACCTCTTCCTTTCTGTGGGAATTTTCTGTTCTGAAAACCTGAATGAGGTTTTTAGGAAGGGAAGATGACTTGCTACACTTTTGAGTAAATGCCAGAATTTGGGCCCTCCTGGCTGCTGCCTGTGCTGTGACTCCAGGCAGCAGAAATGGCCCCGAGGCTGAAGCACAGGGAGGAGGGGTGATTGTCCCCAGAAATGTCACTGTGACATCAGAGGCACGGCCAGAGGAGCCCACATCCTCCTTGCAGCCTAACCTCAGCCTTCCTATTCATTTCTCTACTAACCACCGGTACTGGGGAAGAAAGAAAAGAGAAAAAGAAATGCAGACAGCAAAAATTAAAACTAGGTGATAGACTAGAAGTTGGGTATCAAAGAATAGATATTTTTCACCCCTGCCTGCTTAAGATGTGGCACGATTTTAACCTCAGTTCATACCCTGAGGAGTGTATTCAGGCTTTTAGGCTACTTAATATCCTTTATGGTCTAAACGACTTGGTTCCTTAATGTAGTTTGATAAAGTGGGATATTTTGCATGGAGGATGTGGTGGTGTGTAGAAGGTACGAGCAGAGCTCCAAACAGGGCAAGATTGCTGGAGATTTATAGCACCTCAAAAGCATCTAATTAAAAGTAAAGATTTTTTCTTCTTGAAAACTCTTATTCCTGTCTCTTGTATTTAGACTTTTTTTCCATAGCAAAGATTATTTCTTTAAAATATTTTTTCTTCAATACCATGACACAACTCCTCCTTTCTTCTAAATATGTGCAATAAATCCTCCAAGAGCAGTGAATTTGATCAGTGTGTGCATCTGAAGGTTGCAGGTTCCAATCATATCTTGCTGGTTTGAAAGATAACACCATGACTAAATCCTGATTTACATGTTTACTTTACAGCCTAAAACTGTTTCTTATGCCTACTTTTCTGCTTATTTGTATTTTATTGAAATGAAATTAGTAAATTAATTTTATTGGTAGCAATTAATGAAATTATTGCTTTGTGAGTATGTGGGGGGACAGTACCACCAATATATTTGGAAAAGCAAAGAAAATTAATTAATTGAAAATGTACAAAGTAAGATTTACTAGGTTGTGGTTTTCTTCCCAAATGCCTGTGCATTTAATAAAAGTGACTTTTCAATTAAAAATTAAATTAACACAAATAAACTTGAAGACCTTCTTATTGAAGGCAGCTGTATTATGAAGCATTAACTTGCTCTGAATGCCAAGAACATTTATTATAAAGCAGTTGCCTATTTATTAAATATTATCATAGTGTGTTATCGACCATATTTCTAGGTCTCCTGTTTTGAATTAGCATAAAACAAGTTTAAAAGAGGATTTAAAAATTTTTGCAAGCTACAGATAAGGTGACAAATGAAGGAGTAAATGTATTCAAGTCTCCTGAAAGGGATTTATTTTGAAGGCTGTACTTCTAAAGAGGCATCAACAGCAAACAAGAAAACCAAAACATTATGCTTTAAAATCTCATATTTCTTTGAAAAATGAAACAAACACTGGAAAAAAAAACAACAATGGCAAACTTTTTTATTAGGAAGGTAGCTCAAGTGTCTAGCATATTCCATCCTGCTTCTTGAATATTTCTCTACTGTTATTAGAAAGCATCACGTGCAATTTGTACTTAAAAACAAGCTGGCACAGGTGATTCTTGAAAGTGGCTTCTGCAATCACTTTAATAATGAATATTATCTGTACAGAATTGCAATGGGAGGCATTATCAATTCCTAAAGCCTCAGTGTTTTTCCTCACAGAAACGGGAGCCATCTCTTCTGATTTCTGTCCTGGTGCTTCTTCACCAGTTCCTTGTACACTTCTGACCTCAGAAACCTGGGAAAAGAGTCCTTTGCCATGAGACAGTAGACTGAGCTCTGAGCAGCATCAAAGCAGCTGAGGGTGGGCTCAGAGATGTTCTGGGAGATGTCATTTTTGGTATGGAAGTCAATATTAATCTGTAGGAAGAAAGGAGCACGAAAGCGGTGTCAGTTTGCTTGGAAAGCTGAGATCTGTTTGTGTCCAGGACACAAGCTGCATTTGAATTTCCTCCCAAATAACCCAACTGATGCAAATAAACAGGAAGCTCATCCCTTCGTTTTCCAGAAGACTGAATTCTTCATTTTATTTGGCTCTTAAAAAGATGGCATTGCTGAAAAAACGAAGATAATAACTTGCTTTTCCTTCTCATCTTTCTGCCAAACCACATCCTATGAAGTACTGATTACCAAAGAGTAAATTAAAAGTGAAGGTGCTCAGCATCATTTTAGACTTTGGCCCTATGTATTTTCTAAGGATTTTTTGTTTTTAACAACAATAAGATGTATTTTAATCATATGTAGGAGATGGGAACGTTTAAAGCACTTTTGCTAGCAAAGGTAAAAACATCAGTGTAAATGTTTAAGGTGCAGAAAGTGAATAATGATTAATAAGCAATTTGTTCTTTCACAGTAAGCCTTTTTGAAGTAATTATAAAATTGAATTCTGTGATGGAAATTTTTGCATTCTCATCATGTCAAAAATACCTACACAAAAGAACAAATGCAATCATAAACACTAATGTTCTGGTGCGCTGAATACAGAAGAGATGGTGCTTAATGCATTACAAAAAATTATTAGAGAAAACAAATTATATTGAGCATAAAGTTCCTTAAAATTTCTGACAGAAATTTCAGAAGACGATGTAAACTTATTCCCAATGTGAAGAATGTAAAGAACGTGAAGTGTAAACCATAACATCTTTGCTTCACAGAGTTGCACAAGGTGTTTACCTGGTAAATAATGGACATTATCGTGGAAGTTACAGCCAGACTGAATTGTATTTTCGGTCATTCTTTGAAGTCTGGATCTGAACTTTCCACTTCATCACTCTCCTCAGTACCCAAAGCACACACAGAAAAAACTCTTTACCTCCTTTGGAGCATCAGCTTGTATGAAGTCAGAATAAATCTTCTGGGCTTTCAAGGCAATCTTGGTGGGGGATTTGGTTTTCTTGAAGTCCTCGCAGGCCAGCCAGAACTCCACATTCTCCTCACTGAACTCGGATTTCAAAAATGTCCGAAAAGCTGCCAGGCCCTCTGGGGAAAATGCATCAGATAGTGATGAACTGAATTGAAATTGAAAGGCCAGTGCTCTTTATGTGTGTGCATACTCTCACACACACATGCACACACACACACACGGTGTGTGTATATTTATATATTTACAGTATGTGTATAGTGTAACCTATATATCTGCCACTCTTTTACATGTCAGCTAGCAGTCAGGGTTGAGAAGCTGCTGCAGGGGAAATAAATAGGAGATTAAATTATGGTGCTGATAAGGAGACTACTAAAAGAGTTTTTCAGTGAGTTGCCAACAAAGATTGCTCTCAACAGCTGCCAGCTGTGGTTTGGTCTCTTCAGCACTGGTACATTTGTTAAAGGGGGATCCTAGAGGTTTTGGTCTTCAAAAGGATTTGTAGTGGCTGGGAAATCAGAGATTTGAGGCTGACTCCTGGGCTGAGAAGCAAATAGAAATGTAGGTCACACTGTGCTAGTGTGCTTCCCCCACAGCTGAAGTTCCCTGCCCAAATGGGCCTTCCATCTCCTTGCAAGGAAAGATGAAGACCTGGATAAAAGATGGACTCCTTGTTACTTCTTTGTTCCTCTTTCTTTTTTTTTTTTTTCTTTTTTTTTTTTCACTTTGAAGGGGAAAAAATGAAACAAATAAAGGTTTGTTTGGAATAAATGGTTTTCAAATTAATCCAAATCACAAGCTCTGAGTAAAGAAAGCTGTCAGTACCCAAATTTAGTTGTGTTAGTCAAGTTAATGCTCTCCAGGAACAGTGTGGAGGCATCCCAGGGTCCAGGCCACAATATGACTGCTGGGAGATGGGGGAGGGACAAGGACATTTCTAAAGTTGCTTGTGGTTTGTGGTGTTAGGTCTGTAGAAATGGCACTTCTAGGAGAAGTGACTTTAGATATGTAATTTTTTGTTTGACTGGAAGTCACTGCACAACGCGCGTATTTCTCAGGAATACCTAAGAAAACCTTTGTGGTTTTTTGTGTAAAAAATTATGAAAAATGAAACTACTGCAAGGGGAATTCAGCAATTACTTTAACAAAAACTATTTTATAGGATTTCTGCCTGCCCTTGAGCATTGGCCAGAAGGTATGTTGTGTTTGCAGCTTGGACAAACCTCTCAGGACAGCAGCTCCCCCACCTCCAGCAGCAGCTCTGCTCAGTTCAGTGCATGTGGGGAGCTGAACTGGAGAGCAGTGTAAAAACCTGGCAGAAATGTTTGGTGAATGGGATGACAACTGTTTCAAAAACACATATGTTTTTCCATCACTTCTTACCTTTATTGGATAGTACTGTATCCACAGACTCAGACCAGGCCATGCTTTCCCCAGCATTTGACCTGTGGAAACAACATCTGCCCTTGAAAATAGCATTGTGGTCTCTGCTCTGTGCAGCCTGGGGTGGCTGAGAGCCTGCGGTGTGGCTGGCTGCTGGAGAGAGGGGCTCAGCCACTCCTCCTACCCTACACACAGCAAAACAGGCATACTGGCACTGCTGACGTGATTATTCATCCTGGAAATACTTGTAATGCTTGCAGCTGGTGGAGCTCTAATAAAGCACAGGAGAGGTAGGAATGTTCTAGAGAGTATACTGAATTTCTTCTCAAGTTCAAAAGGATTAGGCGTTAATTTATATGGCACTTTTTGCTTGTAATGACAGGAATTACGTTACCAAAGCTAACACTAAAATGTTACCAAGCTAACACTAATAGGAAACATGGGCCTCATATGAGCTTCTCAGTGGCATAAATAATTCATAGTAAATTCATAGTTTTGGCTCTTCCCCTGCAACTTGCTTTAGGCTTCTGCTAGGCATGAGGGCAAACACTTTGTTCTGTATAAAATATTGCCAGCTTTCTTAAAACAAACAAACAAATAAACCCCACCAAAACAAACAAACAAAAAAACAACCCCCCAAAAAAACAACCAAACAAAAAAACCAACTCAGCATTAAAAAAAAAACATACAGGTACTCTCAAGTTCTGTAAAAAACATTTGATGTTCCTAAGGGGGCTCTGAGAGCTATCAAAACCCTGCTCTCTGAATTATAGAGGTTGGTTTGAGAGCTGTGTTCCACAGCCACTTCTCAGCATCACCACTAATGGTATTTTCTAATTGCAAATTTATAAAGAGATGATATAACAGTGTCAGGATATTACGTGGCTGTAGTTATAATTATTATAAGGGATGGTGACACCTTAAACAATCAGACTTTTTTGTAGCTCTCCATTTACTTGTATCCAGAGTGCAAAAATTGTATATAAGCAAGAAAAAAATTGTACATATTTGTAAGTATATATAAAGACATACATGAGGGAAGCTGGAGTGCAAATATAGTAAGTCTGTGAAACCACAAATGAAAACTAAACATAGCGTTGTGTTGTACTTTGTGAGACATCATGTGATCATGGCATTAATCAGCAGAGAATTTGTTTTAGCAACAATAAGAAACTTTTATCAAATATATATTTTCAGGATGTTTATTAAATGTTTACTAGTTTTCTTGTCAAGCAAAATAGCAAAATGAAAGACCAGGATAAACCAGACAGTTTTGCTTCTTGTTCTTATGGGTAGTATTAGTTGCTTTAATATTTACTCACCACTCAGAATGATCTCACTAACCATGTTGGATTTACTTGAATGGGAATGGAAAGCAGAATTTACAATAAGGAATCAGAATAGTCATATCCCCTTCAAAGGGGGAAGGAAAATAAAGCTGTACAGATTATTCAAAGTTGGTCATCCCATCGTGTAAATCTTCTACCATTAAAATAGACATAAACAGCAACTCACTTCACTGGCATTTTTTGTTCCACTGTTTGTCTGTCTGACTGTCTCAGGGAAGGCAGAGTTTCTTTTTCTGACTGATCTTCAAGCTGAAGGTACAGCAGGAACAATACAGTTAGCATGTGAATAATCGAACAGGACAATGCACACTGACAAATCTTCTCAACATTTTCTTTAAAATTATTTCTTTCAGAAATGTGGCCTATTTTTAGGCAGTGCCACTCTCACCTAATAATGGCCATAATACAAAAGGACTGGGGGCAATGGCAACACATTCCTGCCCAGGGTCACGGGTGGTGGAGCGAGTCCAGAGAAGGGCAGCAGATGGTGAAGGGGCTGGAGCACAGGTCTGATGGGGAGCAGCTGGGGGAGCTGGGGTGTTTAGCCTGGAGAAAAGCCCCAGAGGGCACCTTATAGCTCCCTAAAACTGGCTGAGAAGGGATTGTAGCCAGCTGCTGGTCTGTGTAATTTGTCTCTTGCTCTTGATAATTATTCTTTCATTCCCAGCTCTTTGCTTCCCCCGTATAACCCTCGCTGTCCCTCGCTCTCCTTGAACAAGCAGGCTTACTGACTGATTTCTTGCGTCCCTCCACATCTTGTCCTGAGGCCAAATCCTTTACTCAGATTGCTCAGATTCCTGGTTCTCAATGCCTCCACTTGGCATAAACTTCCAGTGGTTCAGGAACTGGGATCCCAGCTGTCCCAACTTGCAGGCTTAGGGATTTTTGTCTTCTCAGTTAAAATATTTTACACCTAGTAGAGCAGTCTTAGGAGTTTCAGTCCCATTTGATTTTCCTCTGTGGTACAGTCATGAGCAAAGCTGCCTCCTGCCTGCCTGAGAACATCTTTCTTGTTTTAGCCATGTCCATTTTCTAAGAAAGAAGAACCCAAGCACCACATGCCATGTTTCGCCCTTAGCAATGTTAGGAAGTTATTCCTTATCCTTACCTTTTGTAGATCTGTAAAATAAGTTTCGGGCCAATCTATTTGATGAACTTCACACGGGACAAAAAACCAGTGAATCTGGTCAATTGTGCTCCAGGAAGATGAAGTCAGATGGAAACAGATACGGAGAGGTGCATTACTGGGACGAGCAGGAGAATTGAACTGTCGTGCAGGAGAAGAATGAAAGACCAGTTTGTCTCTAAGATGAAAGCAGAGAGGAGCTATGATTGCCCTCTGAATACAGAGAGGTAACCTGGTGAGAAAAAATAATTATTTTAGCATAATGGTTATATTGACAAAAGAATAAATGTATAGAAGCAGTCAGTGAACAAATTCAGACTGAAAACCAGAATAAGGCTTCACAAACTGTTGTTCTTTGCAGTCTTCCAGCAGAATTTTTTGCCCTCTCAATTCTTCTGTACTTTGAAGATAGAGCTTCATATATTTTTGAGATTATTTTAAAATGTTGTCTTCATTAATAGAACACTAGAAATTATGACCTAAGATGCCCTTTTAGTCCCACATATTACTAAAAAATATTATTGGCAGCAAAATTCTAATACTTTCTGTAATTCCTTAGCTTTGCATCTGCTTGCTTCTAAACATTATAGCAGAAGATCAGAAATGTTAATTATCATCCTGGTTTTCTGATGTGATTTTTATTTTGCTTAATTGGTCATTTTTTCTTATTTAGAGAACATCTTGTGTGCCAGAGAGGACCAAAAGCCTTTTAGTGCATTGTGCTCATGAGACTAACTTCAGCATCTTACAGCTGGGAAGAAAACTTGCAGCATCTGCATTGACATCAAATCCTTTGTGCCTAATTCAGTCCCAGTTTGAGCTTTGGCAAAAGGAAATAAACATCATACAAAATCCAACCGTTATTTATTTGTGGAGCTTCTGGCTGGGCAGAGCGTAAACAGCTACAATTTGAATTTTTTAACAGTGTCATGATAGAAAAGTCAGTCCAGTTGTGAGGACAGAGGTGACACTAAATTAGGCAACTCATAATTTATGGCTGGCTCTGTTAATTTCTCAGTGTTTACCCTGTGTCTAATCCCAGTGGTTCTTCTATTTATCCACCTTAGAACTGTGACCATAAATTGATTTATTTTGCTTTTCTAAAAGAGGTGTTATCATTGTTATATCATAGTTCCATTAACTCCTGTGAAACTATGAGAGGGAAGGTTGAGGACCTGTGCCTATTTTTTCTTTAAATCATCAGATGACATACATTCATTTCAAAACAAAATTCCACATAGTGCCACACACACATTTCTAAAATTTCTACCTGATAGCCTGTTATCTGAATGAAGCAGACATGAACATCTCTTCAAGATTTTTCAGGACTGATGGATATTTTTGAAGTCAGCAGTCACAGAACTATGCTAAAACCCAGGAATATTCTAGCACACACAATAAATGGATGGATGCAATCAAATTGCTTTTGCATTTTATAGGGTACTGCTCACAATCCACAAAACCACAAAGAAGCTGTGAGGGACTCTTATCACTGTACAACATTCTGAGCTGTCAGTGACTGCTCAGTCTATGCAAGCTGAAAATATTTCAGGTATGCAGCAGGTTAATAGAATTGTTGTGATATTTGTACTGGGGCAATGAAAATAAGTTCACTAACCAAAGTTAGGCACAGCCACTTCTTCCCAAGCAAACCAGCTGGTTGTATTTCTCTGTACTTCCTCTGCTTGGAACTTAATAGTGTCTGGAAGGAAACTCTGATATTTCACTGAAATGTCATAGAAGAAAAAGTGATCTTAGTATTAAAACAAATGCATCAGCTGCTTGTGCAAGTGTGTTGCCTATTCATAATAACAGCATCAAGCAAACAAAATGAAATAAGAACATGCAGTAGAGATGGGCTGGAAATTGCACATAGAATTAGTGCTAACTTTTTGTGAATCTGGACCCAGCTGACACTGCTGGACCCAGCTGAAACAACAGTTTTAGTTTCAGTTCAGTCCTAGCTGGGACTGGACCTCCAGAGTCACTCACATCCTTATTTGCTCAGCTAATTGCTGGGTATTTTTCTCTTTATCTGTCAGGCCTGTGGCTTAACCTTCCAGTACCACTGAGGACTGGGCTATGGATTTGTGAATCCTCTGCCTTTTATGACATGGGAGAGCTGAAACTCTAGAAAAGGGAATGTGGATCTGACTGAATGTTCCCAACTTTGCCAATATTACTTGCTAAGAACCCATATTTATTAAATATTTAAATCTCCAGAACGTTTAGGCTCACAGCTTGACTTTTACTGATGCTCACCTTTTGTTCTTTAACTGTCTTTAGGCATTAGTTTCGCTGAATTATCATCTTTTATGAAAAGCCATTGGCTGTTGCGGGCCATAAGGCCTGTCATTTTTTGTTCATCTGACCTGGATTCTAATCACAATAGACAGTCTAAAGCAATGCTACATATTCAAACCATTGCTTTATTAACAAAAGTAATCATTTCCATTTACATATGTTCCTTAAAGGGCTGCCTTGTACTCACCTGAGCACAAAGTGAGAAAAGCTCACTCTCCAATGGATGTGCTGGTGTCTCCCAGCAGGTCAGTGTGTTAATGCTCCTCAGCACTTGGCCTCTGTTAATTCCATTCCATTCCATGCAGAGATTTGCTTGGGTATTGCTGGCTTGTACAAAGTAACCTCAGCAGAAAAAAAAAATTAATGTTCTGCTGCCCCAAGCAGTTGAAGCCCATGGGGACTTGGGTGCATCCCTTGTGTTGGGAGAAGCCAACTTGATCCAAGCACTGCTGGCATCCTAAGAACATGGAAATGCCTGTCCCACGGCGATGCAAATACACCTTAATCACAGCACTATGTAAATGCCCACCTTTCCACAGCCCTGCACAGCATGGGCAACTCACAAAATAATTGATATTTTTCCATGTGAATAACTCTGTGTACCTTCAGTATGCTGCAGAGTTGTTTTGCATAAGAAAATGAGCTGTTATTTTCTACCCAAGCAAACTATGCCCTTCAGGTGAAATGTTTTGATTTCAAGAACAAGCTGTCAAAATATTTTACAGTGCTCTGGGCTCCTCATATTCAAGATTTCTAAGTGCTGTACAATCACAAACCTCCATTGGAAAAGAACTGGAAACAACTCTCAAAAAAATGTGCAACCAGGAAAAACTGGAATAGCATTAGCTGCAGAAGTTTAAAATGAGGCCACTAAGCTGTGAAGAAACAAGAGTGTCTTCCTTATGAGCAAATTTTATGGTGAAGAAATGAGAGTTCAGAGTTGTCCTTTTTTTAGGCTTCAGCCTTATGTTCTGTCCTGCTTGACAACTCTCAAATGGCTGTGGTAGGATTCTGTTTCTTGCTAGTTAATTTTAGTTACCCAACATGGAGAAGGCAGTGGTAGAGGCTAGATTGTAAATCTGGGAGTCCAGATAATTTCCTGTAAAGTATAAGGGAGAATTAGGAGGAGGTTACACAAACAGATTATATTTAGGAAATGAGAGAGAAAAGCTTTGGTATGAACCAGAGGGAGCTTTTATGAGACCAGCCCTAAGTGATAAGAGCCCAACAAATGGAAGATAGCAACACATTAACAAGGAGAAAAGTAAAACTTGAGGCAAGCTTTGGTGTTGGATAGAGGAAATACATTTTTATCTTTGGCACAGAGCCACACAGGAGCTTAAAGGGCATTTGATTGAGGCATTTGACTAAAATGCAAAGAACAGAGTGGGATCTGGGATAGGCAGCTGAGCAAGGTGTAAATTCATGAGCATATGAATCACTGATGAGAGGAAGATGATTTTCTGCAATTTTTTTCTCAGCTGAGGTCTTTGGCAGCATGTGTGGAAAGGAGAGGGAGCTGCATTCAAAGCAGTAGCTGGTTAAGGCAGGCTGAGCAGCTGGGGACAAAAGGAGAGGAAAATGATCTGCTGTTTGTGAGTCACTTAAAAGTTGTAACATGTAAAAGCATGTAAGAGCTGTGTTACTGATTGCCTGCTTCACTGGAAGATGGAAATCAGTCTTCTTCTGTGAGATTATTTACCTTAGATTTCATTCTTGCTTCCTGTCAGTTGAAAAATCAGTCAAGTTTTCTTTTGTTAAATAACAAATCCACAACTGGAAGAAAATATTTGGTCCTGTGTATTTCCACCTCCCTCAAATTAAACAACAGCACCTTCAGCCAATTTAAAGCATCTAATTAGACTGAAGTGTTGAAACAGGAGGAAAACCTTGGTGCCACACAAGTCAGCAGATTGTTTCCCTCATACTTTGTGTGTTGAGACTTCATCTATGTAAGCAGTAAAGTGCAGTGTTTGGGTAAATTATTATGTTGACAGGAGGAATATTTTGAGAGCTCTTGCTGAACCCTGAATGGCATATATAAATATAAAAAGCTGCTACATAAAACAATCTCCAATAATAGTACTAGGCTTTGTATGTGTATTATTTGCATTAGGGTGGTCAATGAGAGGATTTACATAACTGTGGCACAGATTCTGCCAAAACTAGAGAAGCCTGACTCTGTTCTCTGGTACTACCCTAAGATTTGTGCTGTAAATCCAACTGGGCAGGGCCACTCCTGAGTCAGGTCAGTCCTGGAACAGCATTACAGACTTATGCTAAATCCATGCCTACTTCATCTTCAGGACTGCAGAACAGCACTAAATAGTAGATGCTCATTTTCCCTCACTAAAAGGACCCTTTTCTAGAAAAAAAAAAAAACCATTGCAGGATAATTATGTCATTTTGGTTTATCTTTGTGTCCTTTGCCTTCCTTTCTCTGAGTTTATCTTAACTTTCTTTTTACAGTAGTTCCCATGGCACTAGTCTGCTGTAAATTCAGCTAGGGTTCATAATTATCTCTGGAAAACACACACGCATAAATAGCTACCAGGAATATCTTATTTGTTTGTTTTCATTGTGAAACTCATAAGAGGGACTAGCACTGTCAGTACCACAGAGTGATGGGTTTGAGGAAGGCCTCCCTGGAGATAAGCAAAATTTTCCATGTGTCTGTGAAATGAAATAAAGGGCACCTGCTGACTTTTATTTATCATTACGACCCTTCTGACTAGCAGCTGGGATTTTGCTAACAAGAAAATATCTTACTCAGGGTACTGTATTTGTAATTTGGTTGGATTTTGGAACAGTATTAAATATATGTATTTTTTTCAGTTCTTTCCTTCATGGCAATCCACACAAGATATGGATTCTCTGCTGATATGAAGGCACGTAATCACACCAGTGCAGAATTTAGCCACAAGTGTGCAGGTTTTATGTCTGTGTGGCAACAAACCCAGTGCCAAGGTTTGGGTGGGGCTGTTCTCAGTTCTGTTCCCTTCCTCCAGCACAGATCTTCGTACACGGCACAGGAACATGCACATTTTAAATATCTGAGAACTGGCATTCATTGTTGGTGATACTAGAGACTCCCTCATCACAGAATCCCCAAGGCTGGAAGAGACCTTCAAGATCTAATCTAACCATTAACCTTCCCCAACCACAGTCACCCCTAAGCCGTAGCCCCAAGCACCACAGCCAGAGGCCTCTTGAATTCTTCCAGAGACCGTGACCTCACTGCCTCCCTGGGCAGCTCATTCCAATTCCTGACCATTCTTTCAGTGAAAAAACCCCTTTGCCCAGGTCCTGACTGCTTTCGCTGTCAGAAAGAGCCTGTGCCTGCTGTTTTGAGATCAGGGGAGGGTGATGAATAGACCATCACAGATCATCATTACAAATGTGTTTCCTCTCTGTTCCCCAGGTAAAGGTAAGAGCTTGGAGATGGCTCCTGGGTCACAGTGCCTCAGCAGCATTTCCACATGAGTTTGGATCTCTGTGCACAGTAACAATTCGATTGACGTGGCAGTGATTACAACTAGAGTTGAACCCTAGGTGAAGTCTTCACATCTTCCTCATCAATGTACTGATGATAAATCAAATCCTGACAACTCTTTAAGCAGATCATATTTATTGGAAGTTAATAAAGCAGACAGGGAAACCTGCAGATCCAGCAGTTCATATACACTCCAAATTAACAATGAACACAAAGTCCCATCCTCAGAAACTGCACCTCTTCTCCTTCACCACTTACAGAAAGGGGAGGGAAAGGGAGAAAGCTTAAATTCCACAAGAAACAATGCCAGTATATATACAAGTCATAGTCACAGATAAATCCTGCAGCCCCTTCCTAAACTGAACCAATGTCTAAGATTTCAAGAACTGCCCCAAGCTTCAAGGTATGTCTGCATCAACTATGAAAGTAAAGGACAGAATAACTGTGTGTGCTGACTATAAAAAAATATGTCTGTCTTTGATATTAAAGAAATAAAAAAGAAGATTTTTTCCTTCTTCTTCTATAACCTATAGAGAGGATATTAATGACCAATGGAACTGAAAGTTGCCCTACCTGAGTCCAAGAGCTGTTAATTTTCAGATACATTTTCAAAACAAAAGGCAGGAAAAAAAATTAGAATACAGTTTAGTAACAAAGCTGGTATACCATGACTATTTATAAATAAAAGTAGAAATATTTTATGTTTATATACATAGACATCACCTGGTATTTAAGGACACACATTGTGTTAAAATAGCATTCTTGTCCCTTTGCTGCTGCTTATTTAGTTGCAAAAAATTAGAATACATGTCTTTGATGCCAAAGCTAATATATACATCATAACTTAAAAATAGACAACAGACATGTGGAATAAGAAAAATGTACCCCCAAAAAATTAAATAGATATTTTTACGTCCCTCTTAAAATAGGCAATGGCTACATTGTAATTATAGATCTAATTATGCAGTGTCTTTAGTTAAAATTCATGTAACTTTGCATTATACCTATTAATGTTCCTGTGTGTTTTACAGTATGAGAAAATACCACAAATTCTCTGTGCTTAGTGTAGGAAATACTGCAAAAACGTAAATGTGTGCAAAGACTGGATACAGAGATTTTAACTGTGATGAAACTCTAACCTAAATGGTACAGGCCCAGGATTCGTGTTGGGTAATATCAAATGGCACTGAGACATTTTTTAAGCAGGAAAATAAAATTTTTCTGCCAAATCTGATCACAGCCTTTGCCTGAGTTAAACAAAAACAACAACAAAAAAAAATTTCTATATGAAAACTCCACATGCTATGACTTGCCAATACGTCACCTAGTTTTCTATGAAAGTGAGATTCTGACCTGGTGTAGGAGAATTTCCTTTTGCTTCACCACTTAGTTACACCTGCTGAGGATTTGGGGTTTAAAACACACCCGGGCTGCTGCGGGAGCTGGGCTGAGCTGGGCTGAGCTGGGCTGTCACCGCACGGTGACACGGGCTGAGCTGGGCTGAGCTGGGCTGTCACCGCACGGTGACACGGGCTGAGCTGGGCTGAGCTGGGCTGAGCTGGGCTGTCACCGCACGGTGACACGGGCTGAGGGGGGCTGAGCTGGGCTGTCACCGCACGGTGACACGGGCTGAGCTGGGCTGAGCTGGGCTGTCACGGCATGGTGACACGGGCTGAGGCGGGCTGAGCTGGGCTGAGCTGGGCTGAGCTGGGCTGTCACCGCACGGTGACACGGGCTGAGGGGGGCTGAGCTGGGCTGAGGAGGGCTGAGCTGGGCTGTCACCGCACGGTGACACGGGCTGAGGGGGGCTGAGCTGGGCTGTCACCACACGGTGAGGTCCGGCCGCACACCCTGGAAGTCGCTGACCGTGAAGGAGCGGGAGCGGCGGCGGAGCGGGGCGCGGGCCGCGGGCCGGGCCTGCAGCAGGCCGAGGTAGGGAGCGGAGCGCAGGAAGCGCGGGTAGCTGTCCTGCTCCATCAGCCGGTACACCGTGCTCTGCGCCGCGTCGAAGGTGCTGCGCAGGGGCTGCCCCATGCTCTGGCTTGTGACTTCCTTGGTGTGAAAGTCCAGATTCACCTGGAGGATGAAGAAAAGGGTGTTTGTTTAACGTACATTCATGCATATCCAGTGTTATTATCTACAGCACTGATACTGGACACTGGAAAACGACTTTTCTAATAAGAATGAAGCCTTAAGCTTTAGCTTTCATATTTTCCAGATTCTGTACTGCATTAGTTTATAACTCTGAACTTCATATAAAGTGTTGGCAGGTTCTCTCCACAGTTCAGTCACACAAACCAATCCTTTTCCAGCCCCAGAACCAAGGACACCGCTGCAGCTTCAGGCCCAAAAAGTGCAAACAGCAGGGAATGGAGGAGAGTAGACTGGGAGGGTGGGACTGCATCACCTGGAGCTGGAACTGGACAATTAACCCAAAATGGAAATGGACCAAAACTTATAAAAGTGTGAAAACCCATGACCCACGCCTTTTAATAAATCCCTACTTTCTTCCTTTCTTCCTTCCCTGCTCCTGCCCAGCCTCTGTTCTAGTAGGCATCAGGAGGACCTTGGATCCCCCATACAACAGGATATTAACACCACAGAACTGGTGTGTTCGCCTTCAGTGGTGGCTCTCAGAAAGTCTCCACAAATGTGTCACTGGTACCATGGAAAACTGGGGAAACAGAAGAAAAACTAAAAGTAACTTTCTAACAGTGATCGCTGTCCAGTCACAGCTTCCCAGCTTTGCAATACCAGACTATTACATATCTCCCCTGCTCTCATGTGGGATTAAAGTAGAACTTGTTCTAATGAGATGATATTAGTGAATAGTTATAATTTCTGGTTTCTGTGTAGTTTGTAGTGAGAAGGTGATAAAATTCTAATAATTTTTTTTTGTTTGTTTGTTTAAACTTAAATGGGTCTCGAGGCTTTAGATTGGGAAAATATTTAAAATTACTATTTACTCCATGTGCTGCTGCATTCACCCTGGGAAATATTTAATAGTATAAGAATTTTAATGAAGTAACGGGCACTGGTTCAAGCATGTTATTTTGAAAAATAAGGTAGAATATATAAAAAAATTGTTGACTCAATCAAAAAGTGACTTCTATAATGTTTTTCTTTTCCTCCCTGAGAGGCACCTGTCATTTCCATACAACTAGTTGGAACAAACAGTCTAGATCTAAGAGCTGGAGGGCAATTAGTGATCAGAGAAGGGTCCACTCATCTGAAATTTTCTGATCCCATCAAACTGTACGCTCAGAAATTTGTGTGTAAAAGAGTTTTGCTGGACAAGGAGTCAGAAGAGATGTGCAAGCTCCAGAGCTGTGTGGTCTCAGCTGAACCCAAGGGAGGAAGTCACACCAAAGCCAAGTGTCCAAGGTGAACCACAGCACCCACCCTGCCTGCACCAAACTCAAGCATGGCAGAGAAAGAAATTGTTGTATTACTGTGACTTCCTGCCCTGTCCTCCCCTCAGCTCTCTCCTGCTCAACTCTTTACTTTAATCAGTCTCAAGCATTGACAGTGTCAGCACTTGTTACCTGTCCAGGGCTGCTTCTCCCCAAAGGCACACAGCAGGAAAAGGAATGGAAAGGGACATAAGTCCTTAAAAGTGGGCATTTCCTAGGAAAAGCAGATAGGAATCCTAATGCAATCTATAGGAATTGCAGGTGGGAACTGCACCGCTTTGCAATCCTTTCACTAAAATGAGAAATACACTTTTCTTCACCCTCATTACAAGGAAGCAGAAGTTAGTGTTTAACTTCTGCTATTCTGGCAAATAAAAAAATACAGGTATTGGCAAGTGACATATTTGATCTGCTCAAATGTGATAGAATTACAGGAAACTCTAAGTCAAAAAGATCTATTCATGAGGCTGCTTGTGATTTCACTAAAAAGTTTATGATCTCCCAACCTGTTCATCTCCATTTAGGGCAGGCAAAAAATTTCTTTTGTTTATTTATTAACCCTTTCTAACACACTTCAGTAAAATGAAGAAGTTGGAAATATGAAAACTTTTTCATTCTTAGGGTACTAAAACAAGGCCTTAGTGTTGGTGAGGACTGTCATATCAACATCATTTTGTGCTGACAGTAACACACCAGGGATATACAATTGGAGGTGGAGGGGTGGAGGGAGTCAATCAAGTCCATGCTCCTTCCAGAGTTTTGACTTTTAGGAAAGTCTTCTTATATCAGGGGACTGCACTTTTAGCTCTGGAAGCTTCTTCTGGGCATGCACTTCTTAAAAGAAAGTTTCACCAGATGCAGTTGTGTCAATCAAGCACTGTGTATAATGAGGAAGGTCTACCTCTTTTGGAGCATCTTTCTGTATGAATGTTTCAAAAATGGTCTTGGCTTTTGGCAGAAGTTCCTGTGCACTTTTGCTTTTCTTGTAATCCTCGCAGGCAATCCAGAACTCGATGTTCTCCTCACTGAACTCAGTTTTCAGAAACTTTGTGAAGGCATCCAGCCCAGCTACAAAAGGGAAAGTTGAATTGCATTAAAAAATATATCCTTATCAGACAGTTACTCTTTCAAAGAGTCTGTGAAAGGTAGTAAAATATGTTTTGCTCCCTTGGAATAATACCACATTACAGATAATTATCCTAGAATACATAACTGCTTTAAAATAAGTGCAGTTTCTCCATTATGATCCTGCAACTCTCCTTACAGAATTCTCAGCATCAGTAAAAAAATGCTACCAAGATCTCATAGATTTGGAAAAAAACATTAAGCAAAACGTGTGGGAGTATGTGGAAGTGGTGGACTTTATTCCAGCTGAATATCAATACAGGTTGATCCAAAGACTATTTGAATCTTTGTTCATAAGTAAACCACTGTTCAGCAGCAATTTAAAATTGATGGCTTTCAGCATCTCTATAATTTGCTTTATCCTGCTTTTGTTATGCTGAGGATATTTTCTTTGTCAAGCATGCTTCATATGTGGAAGTAATGCAATTGTGTGGATATGAACTGTTCAAGGAACAGATTCAAAGAGCCCACAGCGTCCAGCACTGTGGCTGAAACACGTGTGCCTCTCCGAAATGAAGGCAGGACATATGTGCATTTGATAATGATGGGAGCAGCAGGGCCTCTCAAATGATGGCCAGCTTGGATCCAGTCACTGTCTTGGAAACAAACTGTCAGGACTGACATAGTCTTTTCTTAAGGACGTGGAGCATGTGCAGTCAGGAATATTTGAGCAATATTACGGTTAAATGTTCCTGTTTGCTGAAGGGACTCTTTGCTGTCTGCTATATTACTTTGTTCAATAAAACACCAAGCACAAAAATTATTTTAAACTATTTTCACAAGCTGACAGCGAGCTATAACTGAAGAAGACAAGGAGAGCAGGAAACACATGCTGCCGTAAATGACCCATCATACCTAATTTAGGTAACTGCCATGTCTATTCAAGGACATAACTGGATTTTATAATTTTCCATCTTTTACCATCAATTTTCCATCCTAACAGTCTGCATAGAGAGAAAAAACTACTGACCTTTCTCAGAAAGCAGTTTGTCAAAAGACTCTCCCCATTTCACTGCTTCTTCAGGAGACACACTGCTTAAGAAACAGAAAGAAGTTTTGAAGAATTGTTCATACTGTGCATTAAGGAGGCTGTGTAACACACATTAACTGTCACTGTTGTGGCTCAGGACTGTTCCACAAAGCTTTTGATTAGATAACCTCACTAAGCGAGATCATTCTCTTAGGGGCTTCAGGAACATTTGCTTTAACTCACTCTTGACATTTTTTTCCTGCAATTATACTTCTCTTTTTATAAAAACATAGAGCAGTGGCTTTTTGCTGTGGTATTTGTGTTGTCCTACTAATTTTTAAGGGAATTGAGACCACGTAGCATGGTAAAACTCATAAGGGAAGTAGGTCTTGTCAGCTATTTAAACTTGAGGTAGTCATGCAGAGATGTAGTTTTGAATATATTCACTCTGAGGCTGTTACCACAGTCTTCTTTTAATGAAATATGCAGAATTCTGTAGCCTGAAGACAAAACTGTAGCAATATGGTTTAGGTGTCAGTCTTACAGGGCAATAGCGTGTGTAGTCTGGTTTGTTTACCACAAACATGCCATGTTATTCTGAGACACTGTGCCTCATTTATAAAACTCCTCATGTTCTTCATCAAGCATGTCAAGTTTCACTTCAATTTTGAAAAATCTGCCCTAGGAAACAGCAAAGAAAGGGGGGAAAAACCCCCAGTTTTTATCAGTTGCTTTGTGGATGTGAATGTTTAGAACCATTTTCATTCCAGGACAAATCACAGGACACTGAAAGTATCAGTAAGTGACAGGTCTGGGATTAGTTGATCAGATCAACTTCTTATGGAGCGAACGTTTCTGGAATATGATCCCACTTCCTCATCAAGACTCGCTGTTCTGTTTCCTGATTTACACAGTTTGGGTTCCCTTGGCAGGGAGGAGGCATGTGAAGTTTAGTTGAAAGGAAATTCCAGTCTCTTTGGTAAGGAATTTAAGCCTGTAATGAGGCATTTTGTTTTGTTTTTTTAATTTTGATAGGTGTCACATATTTCATAGCTGAAGTCATTTCTTGCAGGAATGAAAATTTTAACTAGGGAGAAGAAAGCAGTTTGTGAGGAGAGGTACAAAGGCTGGGGAAATGAAATTCAGGAAAGCAGGGGGATTCTGGAGTCAGGGAAAATGAGACCTCACTCCCTTCCAGCGTTCATTAGTTATGAGAATTACAGAAAGTACCGTGAACTCTCTGAAATGCAGGTTCCTGTACCTACAGAAATTATTTTGGTCATAGTGAAAGATAAAGCCTTATGACTTCAGACCACATACTCAGTTCACAAAGGCATGAAATGCTGGAGTTTTGGAAACTCCTTTGCTGGGTTTGGGAACTCCTACTGTGACTTTCTTGTTTTTCCTTCAGCATCTGCAACAACCCGGGAGCCTCACAGACCCCCAACACCTGAGTGCAGCAGAGTTTGTGCAATAATAGACAGAAACTGAGATTTGTTCAGCTTTGCCACTTTCTAAATATGACAAGAAAATAATTTAAACTAATGGTTTGACATTTCAACTAAAAGTGAACTTTTAAATGAACAGATTAATTAACTTTTCTGCTGTTGCCCCAATTTCCATATGCAATGTTTCATTAAAATCTCTTTCTACTTATTTTAGTAACTCTGTGTGAAAAATGGAAATCATAAAACCTAAGTAAATCACTTAATAAAATTCAAACTATTATCTCACTTTATTATTTGAAAAAAGAGTAAATTTGTTTGGTTGTTTTTTTCAATTTTTTGACAAATATAATTGTCACTTTAATCCAAATATAAGACCAGCAAAAATCTACAAGTTTCTCTTCCGTACAAGAACAGTCAAATCTCTGTTAGTAAAACACCAGCTGAGAGTAACATGGTAAAAGACAGCTGGCTGAATGAGGAAATTATGTTAAAAGGGAGAAATTCTTCAGAGAATTGTTACTGCTCTGAAAGTGCTGTCTGGCAGATTGTAAGAATGCAGTGAATGGCTGTACTTTGTATTAAATACCTGGGGTATATGAGCCACCCAGCACTGTCTGCTTCTGCTTTCTCTTTACAGATGCAATCTTAGAATGGTTTTACATGTCTGCAGCCAGGGTATCTCAAAGCATGAGCAACAAACACAGCCTGGTTACTCAGATGCACTGGTGGGAGTGTTTAGATACCCCCTCCCCAGCCACTCTTCTATGCGTTCTAGAAGCAGAGTTTGGGTCCTTAGGTGACCTCGTGCTCATTAATTAGCACATTAATGGCTTGTAGAAGCAGCTGTGGTCAAAACAGGCAGCTTGGTCCGGAAAGTGGGGACTGCTGGAACAAGGGAAAAGGCCGTGGTAAGCGCTGAAGTGTTCTGGAGTGATTTGTGGTGGAAAGAAAGGGCCGATACATATTTTAGGCCACAGTGTTGTAGAATTCTACATATTCCTTCTTCTCAGTCAGGACCTACAAATTCAATTCTTAATATAGCAGTGACCTCTTGGTACTCCACTGAAGTGAGGAATTAAACTCTTGTGGAAGTCAGTAAACCCAAGATTGTACCCTGCATGCATCTTTATGGTAAATACTAGGAACAATACTACCAGAGTGTATGAATTTTGGAGACAAGAGTATTCACCCAATTACTGCAGTTACTAAGGAACTCTGCATTCACTATTTAACACAGCTATGGCATTTGTACATCACAGAAGTCTTTGGAAAACCTGCTTTGCCAGGAGCTGTATGATTTTCCTGCCAGCTGCATTTCTGAGTGGATTATTGCTCTGTACAATCAGTGGACTCGTACCAAGGCTGCTGGCACAAGGTTTAAACCTCTCTGCAAGTGTATGGAGACCAAGTGGTGTGAAAACACTGCTGATTACATTGATACATACCAGGTAATTCTGTAGTGTTTGCATTCTTGGGTTACACTGATAAATTTTCAGTGTTGCTCTGCCCAGTCTGAATGCACACACATGGGTACAGGAAACATCCTGAGTCACACAGGTGCTTCTTGTGGAGAGAATCCCCAGCCAACCCAGTCTTTTACAGTGTTTACCTTGCTGCTTTTGTCAAGTTTCCAGGTTTGCCAAGGTGATCACTTTCATGGAATTCAGGTTTCTGCAGGAGCAGGCTCAGCCTATTTCTCTTCTGCTTAGCTCTACGACAGAATTGGAGTAGCTTTTCAAGAACCATTGTAGAAAGTTGGTTTTTCCCTCTCAAGCATTCTCTGCTTCTCCATTATACAGCTCCCTATTTTCGCTTACAGTAATGTTGGTGTTACTTCTCCTACACGTATTATTCATGTTAATGTTTTTTTCTTCATAGCTTAGCACATATTTTACACTGGCAAAGAAAAATGGAAATCCTTTAATTTTCAGCATCCTTTTAATTTATTTTAAAGATGAGGGGCCAAACTTCCCATTAGAGAATGTAAACAGTTGGCTCAGCGTCTTCTACTTTTAATGTTTCACAAAGAAAAAAGGAACTATTGCTTCCTGTCATTTGAAATTTTTGAAAAAAGCTTTCCCGGATGATAATCAGGCTTTAGAGAAGCATTTCTCAGAACTTCTTGCAACCTCTTTTTCTTAGTATTTTTAGATCATTAATTTGGTTTGTTTCTTGTCCTCAAAAAAAATGAGAGTACTTTGAGATAACTCTTCTAAAAAGAGTTAATATTTTACACATATTTTACACCATCTCTAGGATTGCAGTTCATGAGATCTCATATATATGTCAAAAATGAAATTAGCCGTGCCCTAAATTCATCCCCACAAACTATGCTAGAAGAATCCTCCATGGAAACAGAACACGCAGAGGGTCGGCATGACCTGAACACTTACCCAGGCTTGCTTGCCTTGTGTGGCTCTTCCTTAATCGTTGATTTTGTGACTTTGTAATAGGGTTTATCCTTTGAAGCAGAAATGTTGAGTTGGGGGAATAAAAGAAGTGGGTTCTCCATCTTCCTCTAGAGAAGCTCCTGGCAAGGTTCCCTTTGCTCCCTCACCCCCGGAGCGGGCTGGCTGGGGCTCTCACATGCTGCCTTGGCCGGCCTCAGCCCTGTGTCCAGAGGAGGTGGTGGCAGGAGGTGGCTCTGCAGCTGTGCCCACGCTGGGCTCTGAGGGCAGCTCTGGTTGTGCCCTCGTCCCTTGGGGAAGTGACACTGCAGGGCTCACGCTGCAAACCACAGCCCAGAGCTGCGGCTGCTCAGCTCCTGCTCGGGGTAGGGTGACACCAACCCGTGCTCCCAAACACCTGTACATGCCCTAGGCTCCTAAAATTAACCTCAATGACAGTCATGCCACATGAAATAACATACAGCCTTCTCCTCAGCCCCCAGAGGCGCTCCATCCGCCCTTAAGCTGCTCTCTGCAGCCTCAGTGCCATGTGCTGCGCACAGCTCCATCCACGGCACCCTGACTTCAAACTCGGAGTTTCTCTGCGTCTCCTCCAAGCTTTGGCTGATCAATCATTTTGCAAGCAGATATTTTAATTTTTGCATCATTCTTCAGAAATTACAACCACTCACTTCTAATTTCCAGTTTGTCCACTAAATGCTCCCTCTTTCACTTCTCTGACTGTGGATTTATTTTTACTTGCAATCTCCCACACAAGACAGAAAGTCTTTAGTTCAGAAAAAAAAAAAAAAATCTGTGTTTTTTTAAATTTTATTTTGTTACTAAATAACCCAAAACTTCTCATTTCAGTCTGCATACGGTAAAAATGTATTAATCTTTGAGGTTCATCAGCACAGGTTATCTCTTCACATACAAGTCTGATGTCAGTTAAGTTTCTTGGGTTTAAGTTCACTTTCTGTTGGAGGTGTCATAGGAACAATACATCTAATAAAGAAACATCTTCAGTGTTAGCTGAATGAGGCACTGGAAAGGGTTAAAATTACTGCAGTAGTTAATTTATTAAGCATTTAATAGTTCTCATGTTTTTAATGGCAGTGTCTCATTTTGATTTCTCAGGTAGGACACTGAGCTTTGAGGAGAAGACGTGACCTCATTACCTCCCATAATTTTGTTGTGTTTTACTTACATGGGTACTTCTGGTGAGAGTTCCATTGTGGCCTTTTTCTTGTGGAGCTGAGGAGGATGGGAATGGGAGACACTAATATTCAAAAGAAATTTTAAAAAAACCAACTCTGCTAGGAATCCAAATTTGTGAAGCATTAAAAGAAGAATAAGATGTAATCTGTCATGATTTTTTTTAAGAGTTAACTGAAAAACTCTCATGTGCTACATGTGTGATACAAATTTTAAAATCAGACTGAATGGGAAACAGTGCAAACTGCCTTTTGTAACCCAAGGGACTTTAGGAAGCAGGGTTACAGTTTAAATCTAATTTTCAATTTCAGAGAAGGCTTATGCATCATATCATGCATATTTTAAAATGGCTTTAACTGCAGCTGTGTTTAATAATTTATTCTGCCTTTTACAGATAAGTAAATAAATACAGACTGCATGACTTTATTTCACTTTTCTGCAATAGTAGTGGTCACATGAGCTTTTTTTACCTGTTATGTGTACAAAATACTGTGCTCATCTGCCATAATTTTGTTACCTGCTGATTTCAGCTCCCAGAAAAAATTTGTAATTGTAGCCTCCACATTCCATCTAAGCTGATTTAAGAAAGATTTGGACCATGGAATATAATTCAGAGGTGAATTATGAGGGGCCACTGTGCCAGGCAGCTTCTAGATGGGGATGAGCAGCTGTGTCCCTCTTTCAGCACCCACCAGCCATGATGATTGAATTATTCCTGTACTACACTGCAAGCAATGGTGTCAGTCCTGACTGCAGCAGTGTGCTGTACACCTCCTGAGAATTCACTTGGAAATCTGAAGGAGTGTGGAGAGGGGGGGAAGAATCACATACAATCTTTCCCCCACTCACCCACATTTTTCCCCCCATTAATAGAAAGCTTATAATAAATCTAGGCCATGAAGTAGCCAAATTGCCTCCAAGTCAGTCTCTGTTTTGTCAGCACTGCTGCTGGTGCTAATGAGCATCCCTGTTTTGAATTGTAAGCTGCAATAGTTATAGTAACAGTATTAATGACCCTGTAAATGCTTCTGGGCCATTTTGGGTGCTGCAAGATGACGATACAGGAAAATTAATAAGTTATTTTAAAACCAGATAAAGCAGACACAGAATATTATGTTGATGACATGACTAGAGATCTAGAAAGCTCAAAAAAAATTTGTGATGAGAACTAAATGTCCTGTTTCCCAGCCATTTCTCTAACCACTGAAAAATGTTGGGAAGGAGGCTACTGATTTTTAAGCTCTCAAATCAAGATTCTCTCTGAAAGGTGAGAACAATATTGAGTTAATGTTCTATTACTTGCAGAAATACATTTTTCAATGGTTAGATGAATATTAAATGTATTTTCATAACAACCTTCATGTGACACAAAAGTAAAATTGTATAGAGAATAAAGTGCTGGATGATGAGTCGATGTCCTGATCCTTTGGGCCTTCCTGTTCTTTGGCTGAAAAGTGTCTGCACTGGTTTCTGATTGTGTTTGGTAAGGTCCTGTCACAGCTGATGATCAGGTCATGCTTGACTTGTATAGACACAGTAGCTGCCCTCCGTGAAAGAAATCTTGACTGGCAGTGTTAGCAACAAGGCCATGGTATTGTACACTGAGAATGTCATGTTTTCTTTTTACAGGGAGTCTCTGAGAGATTCAGGCTTTCAGTCCAGCTGAATAGGAGTGCAGCCCTGACTGAGCAGTTCAGCTCAGCAAAAAGAGCTGGAGCACAATGGGAAATCCTCCCTTGTCAGTAATCCCACAGCATCTCTCTCCAAAGCTGTTTTCCTTACTTCCCAGGTAAATGCAAACTTTGCCTCCTCCATTTCCATTCTCATGTTCTGGCACTGCCCGGGCTTCTCCACAGCCAAGCTCCAGCACTGGTCTTATTCAAATCCAATCTTACCAGTATGGCTTTTGCTGGGTTAAGTTTCTGCTGAAGGGAAGCAATATTTATGAGAATAAAAACAAAATACCAAAACCAATAGTGTTTTTACTGTTTTTTCTTTCAGGAAGGAAAAAGCATGGAAGGAAACTTCACTGAAGAGCATGGGCTGAAAACATGAATTTCCATATTTCATTTCCATGTAAAGACATTTGAAGACTTGGGAATTAAAATTGTCTGGTTTGAACTAATTTTGTTTTAATTAATAATTCTGCTCTTCAGTCACTTCTGACCAATTTATCACTCCTCAATATTTTTGTTGTTTATTCCTATTTGGAAACAATAATTGAGTGTAAAATTTGATAAATAATATGATCCCAGTCATGGTTGGTTTTTTATCTCTTCCCCATGAAGCAAATCCAGAAGGAAGAGAGTTCTATTGGAAATGTAGAGGATCTTGCTGTCTGCTCATTCAGGGAATTTTTTTAGTGGTGCCCTTAAAAGATGCATCCCAGGGGAGGAGGTTGTCGTGTGGGATTCTTCAGTTAGATAAGGAGAATCATTGCAATGCCTGCACACAGCTCGCGTTGAAAAACGTGTTTTTCTCCTTTATTGCTGCTGCTTAAAAGGAAGGAAACAAAATTGCATTGTTTCAGATATGAAGCACTGGCAACAGGAACATAACGCTTTGCATTTGGGGTCTGCTAGCCAGGCATTGCTAAAGGATTTTTTAAACCATCCCTGATAAAAACTCAAGAGTGGCACAGGCTTGGGAGTCTTTGTAGCTTCATCAGAACTTCTGCGGGGGAAAGTGTTTACATCCGTGCTAAACGGAATTAATTTATTTGGTCTTTTGAAAGGTCAGAATAAGAAAGTGAGTCTGCAAAGTTCTCAGCTGTATTCATTTCCTGCCTGGCCAGCGGTTCCCGGCCGGCATCTCTGGTTAGTGCTGTTTACAAGTGACATGCATCACTGTCACCATTAATCTTCAGGCAGTCGTTTCCTCGGCTGAGCCCTGCGGTGTTCGCAGCCATCTCTGACATCAGTGCTCATTAGACAATGGCGTGTTAATGACCAGCTTCCGGAAAGGCTCACCTTCCACGCTCACAGGCCTCTTTTAAAAGAGTTTTTTTTCTTTGTGCTATTCACTGGAAATGCTGAAGGCGGGAATGTTCTCTAAATCCTGCCCAAAATATCCTTCCTACTGCAGTTCTGCACTACTGGATTTATTTCTGTCTTACAGAAACCCAGAAGGACTCCTCACATGACAACCTGTTCTTGGGGGTTTTTAAAGTTGTTTTTTTTTTAAAAAAGACAGATTTTTATCAACCCATGGCAATGGAGCAAACAGTGGAAAGTATTTGGCTGAGAATTTTCTGGTCGTTCTGGGAAAGGTGTGGGACTGTTGCTTGGTCATGCACAAGAGGGCTGTGACTCCTAGTCCACTGACTGTTAACTGTAATATCAAACTCCCTACAGAACACAAGGGAATAAAATCTGTGTTGCATCAGGACTGAGTGTGCTATCACTGAACTACTGGGTGGTTTAAGCAGAGCCAACATGCTTAATGCTGGGCATGTCCTTACTCTGCTTTCCCAGTCAGAGTATCAGGAACATCTCGGGGTGCTGCAGCCCAGGCTGAGCTACCAGGGCAGGCATTGTCAAACAACTATTCTGCAATATCTTTTTTCAGCTTATATGTTATTATATTTTATTGTTACTTCTTCCTGATAACACTTTGTTCTTGTGTCCTGAATTTAGTGAGGCAAATAGTCCAACAGTTTACAAAGTGATATGGTGGATTTCCCATCAGAGCAGTAAAATTTGGTCCCCAAAAAACTTGAAAATATATAGCTAAATTTCCATATGAATATGTAAATATATTATCTTCAAAGTCTGTCAAAAGAAGACAGCATCTGAAGATATAAAAGCTACATGTCAGTCTGATCTTTCTGTTCAGTAATTACCCAAAGGCGTTCATCGTGAAAATTAGGTAAAAATAATAATGTTACATCACATTTCAGTACAATCTTCAGAATGACTGAGAAATTTTCCAGGAAGGTTCAACTGATTTTTGAGGATTGAAAAAAGCTGTATTCAAAAATGTAAGCTAGGACAGCTTTATTTCCTAGATTATGGAAGTTTTGCAGTTGTAGTTTTCTTTTCCTCCTTCCAAACTTAGAAATCTAATGAGGAGTTTGGCTTTGAGGCAGGGACACTCTTTGTCATCCTTTACCAGTC